CTCTCTTATACATTCAGCTAGTTGCTACATGAGCTAGAAAGTAGAACCTCTGTTCTAAAATTTGAAAACTAGCTTAACAATAAAATAATGTGCTTGAAGTGATAAATACTGTGAAAAGAAACTATGGCATTAGTTGAATGGTCAGACTGTAATTTTGACTGTCTGCCATTACTCTCCTGCAAAAGCACAAGGTGTGGCCAGTTCTCACTTGGTTCCAACTCAACCTTGGCTAGAAAAAGACATTGTGTTTTAAGAAATGGGTGGAGGAAAAAGTAGCAGAGGTTAATTTGGTGCCTTGCCTTCGTTTCCCGAATTTAAAAGCATGGCAACCTTCATACCGGGAAACACTTTAATTAGTTTGAACCAGGAGGCAGAGTGAGGCATCCCTGAAACATACCCTCTCTTATGTAATGTACATATCTTGCTTACTTAAAGCTTTCCTGCTTTCTATACTTACAATTCTTCAAAGCATCATTGGCAACAAGACCAGTAGTTCCAAATTTACCAAAGTCATTGTAATTAAATGAACTTTGGTCTGCAGATGTGATGAGCAGACCAATTTGAGGTTGTACCCCAAGATTAAGACAAATAATATATCTTAGAAAAAGCTAGAAATTAGTGCAGTTATTATTAAATGTCTTTTGAATTATATTTGTTATAGCGTAAATAAATAAAGGAATGGCAAGTAAGACTATTTCAACACAATTAATTATTCCTTTATACTTATGACATAATAATCACATTAGCATTGAAATATTGAAATAATTTCATATATTTTATATTAACCAAATATGTGTGTTTATATATTTAGATACATATATATCTATATATATTATATATAGATATATATGTCTATATATTATATATATAGATATATATAATTTTTGATTTATACATAGATGATAAATACATAAATGAATATCATTTTGAGGATAACAATTTTAAAATAGCTTCATGTGGTACATTATTCCTGAGATAGGTATCTAGATAATTTACTTGTGAAATCAGTGTGATCTGTGATTACCATCTAGTGGCCATGTCCTTGAACTGCAAAAACTCAGTGCTAATGGAGACTCTCAGGGGGCCTATTTAGCTATATCAACCCATTTTATTGATGCATGTCACATATTAACTATTATGTAACATAAGTGCAAACACATATCTTGTAAAAAATTTTGCACAGAAACTGGTGGTCTTTGCATGAAGGTGATTTGAATTGGCCAATTGGAAAAGACTGTAATTTTCATATATAATAAAATCAAAATGGGCCGAGAGGAGAACAATATATTTAAATTTAATTAAATTGCAAATTATAGGGCATACAAACAGAATAAAGTCCTGTGCAAGTTTGGCAATATAGTTTTCCAATGCTAACATTTATAATTTGACTAGTTCAGAAATAAGTAAAGTTATGTTAATATTTGAAGGTCAGATTGAATATCATTAATTTACGATAAATAACAAGAGAGATCGATTTTTAAATGTTACAAGAATACAACAATGTGGATAGTAGTTAGGTACGTTGTCATGGGAGAAAATGCATTGGGAACTGTTTGCAACAATTTATGAAATATGAGTACTTGCATTTGAGTGGTCATTGGGGAAATGTCAAAAAAAAGGAAATATTTGTAAACTTTGTCAAGAAAGAGATATAAGTATGTCATAAATTTGGTGGAAGAGATCAAATAAAGGCATTTTTAAGGTTTTTATTATGAAGAACTAAGCAATAATGGTGTTTTCAAAAGTATTGGGGAAATGAAGAATGATTATTACAGACTCTTGTAATAGAATATCAGTCTCTTAAGAATTGGACGGAATTCTAAGGAATTATTCTAAATTATGTCATGTAATCCTCACAACCATCTCTCCACTTTTAAAGTGGGAAGGAATCAGATCCAAAGATATTATATCATTGTCCCAGGATGTTACAGCAAATAAATGGCATCATTGGCATTTGACACTCATACCCATGTGATTCTAAAAGTATATACTCTTTTCTCTTCTCTATGAAATGTTTTCAATTGTTTAGGACCTTCGCAGACATTTTTTAAACTAAGTTAATGTGAAGGTCCTATAGTATATCCATCTATTAAAATTTATATAAAACTGTATAATTAGAGTTTAGAATGTGTGTAGTTTTCTATTAAAAATAGGATATACTTGTTCTGAAAAGGAAACCTAAGAAGGATCAGAATTAAAAATATAGAAAAATCTATATTTATGTGCAAAAATTCTTTTTTAATTGCACCATTGTGATAACTAAAGGATAGTTTGTTAAAATGTTCGGTGCATGGTAAACATGTGGTCATCTGGTCTATAATTAAACAGGCAGTTTTACTACATTGATCCAACCTTCCTGGTACTCAAGGGAGAGACAGACAGAGGCTGCAAACAGACATTACATAGTGGTCTCATTCAGTTCAATCTATGCTTGTTTCTGATTCTTCATGTTTATTGGTTGGTAATAATGCCTTTTATTATTACTTATTTTGGAGTTTAGATAGGTAAACTCCAAAAATATCTTCATAATCTCAGCTAGTCTATGCTTACTATTAGCTACACTAATATATTAATGAATAATTATTACTTATTATGGGCATAATTATTATTATCCCTTCATTTAAAAAAGTGTTTGAGTTGGGACAATAAGTTACATTGTCACCATAGACCAGAAGTTCTTAGACAGAGACATGGTGGGCTGGTAAAACTTATGGACCCTTTTTAGAATAATGTTTTAAAATGGGTAACATAAAATACATAAAATTATAAAGGGAAGCAAACATATTAAAATAGAGTTACTGACATATTTTTAAAAATCAAGGTTGTGATATAGTAATTATTGTGCTCCTTTACTAATTCACTCAATACCATTATCTAGTGATTCATTTAGCAACTACTATAATTTAAAGAAGGGATGATTGAAGAATATTTCAACATAGCTGCATCAACTTCAATGTGAAATAAAAATATTTGCAATTCTACTGATGAAGAAATTTCCAGTCCTACTAATTCTGTATTTTATGGCCTACTTGAAGGAAATGCTAAATTTCGGTTCTCTAAAAATTGACAAATATTTTCTCCTAACCCCACACATCTAACTTGTTAAGAACCCCTAGATACACTACATTGCTGGAATATATACCTTTTCAAACCCTAGAATTTTATTATTGTCTCTTCATAACAAATATAAAGTACAACACATTATACATGTTTAATAAATGCATATAGAAATGCATAAATAATAAAGTCAATGAAAAAATTGAAGATGTGAAAAATTAATCAAGATAATTACATAATAGTTCACATAGTATTGAAAAGTTTCCAGATGCAGGCTTTACCTAGTAATATGATATATTATAATATCACAACAAAGATGAATCTTACATAACCAGACACTTGTACTACAACCCACTTTTGGGGGATAGTTATGGCCTTTTGATGTCCTGGGTGACTTAAACGATGGCAGAGGCTGACCTAGTTCACAGAGTGACATCTTGGGAATCCACAGTATTGTGAGACTGAGGATATTGAAGCCAGGTCAAAGGATTATTCTGACAAACGGAAGACTATGATTCTTTGTTTTATCTCTTCCCAACTTCCAGTCCTACCCCCAAATTCAGAAGTATACTCTGAAGGATTTAGACAATGGAAGCAGGGAAGTTACTCTGCCTCTTTGATGTTTATTCTTTGCTTGGCTGTCTTTGTTCTAGAGATTTCTTCACATCTTCTCCATAGGAGCTCTCAGCAGCTCTACACCTGGATGCTTTTGCACCTCTCAAGTCTACCATCAATGGATTAAAATGCATTAAAATGATAAGATATGTACAAAATGTATTTTTGCTTCTCAACTACAAATATATGGCTATCATTGGTATTTCCATAGGTGATCAGGGCCTATCAGGAGAACATCTGGAAATTTATGATATAGAAAGAAAAATTTCAGCTGAATTTCTAACAAGAAAACAGTTAAGCATCCTTTAATGTCTCAGCTGAGTGTGGGCAGAAATACATTCTAATTCTGCCAGGACAAGCCCTTGTAAATACTCTAGCCCTCCACAGGGCAGTGGCATTGATTCCGCTTGTCAACAATGATGATCTGAGAGAACACTGTCCAAAGGATGTGGGTGCAGGGAGAGAGCGAGAGATCACAGAACATAATGAAAGGAGGGCCCAATGAGGAAAAGACAAGATTTGGTGCTCAAGGTGTTTAATGATAAAACATATCCCTTTATAATGAACTAGAGGCCTGGTGCACGAAATCCGTGCATGGGTAGGATCCCTAGGCCTGGTGGTGATCAGAGCCTATCAGGTTCACCACCTCCCTGCCTCCCCGCCCCTCTGCCTCCTCCTTCCCTCAGTCCCTCAGCACCCTGCTGCGGCTGCTGGTCACCCACCATGTTCCACACCCCCTGGTGATCCCTGCCTCCCCGCCCCTCTGCCTCCTCCTTCCCTCACTCCCTCAGTACCCCACCACCGCTGCTGGTCACCCACCATGTTCCACACCCCCTGGTGGTCAGTGCACATCATAGCGAGCAATTGAACTCCCGTTCTCCTAGTCAAACTCCTGAGGGGACACTGCATATTAGCCTTTTATGTATATAGATGGTCTCAGCAAGCCTCGAGTAGATGAATATATTTTATTTATAACTATATTAGTAATTTACATTTACACTGTTAATACCAGGAAAAGAAGCTATTTTAGGCAGTAATTGGTGATATTATGATTATTTTCATCTTTTATTGAATTTATGGGGTAACATTGGCTTAATAGAATTATCTAGGTTTCAGGTGTAAAATTCTATAATATATCATCTGTATAGTGTATTGTTCCTTCACCACCCAAGTCAAGTCCTTCACCATTTATCCCCCCCCTTTACCCTCTTCTAACTCCTCCCAGCCCTTTCCCTCTAGTAATCACCATTGTGTTGTGTCAAAAAGCATTTTGTTGTTGTTGCTTAATCCCTTCATCTTTTTCACCCAGCCCCCCCCAAAAAAGATAAAACAGAGTGACATGATTGATAGTGACTGAGGGAGGCTACTTTGGATAAGATTGGGGTAAGCAGACATTTTTGAATAAGTGACATTTGAAATAAGATTTGAATGATGAGAAAACGCCATGCTATGAACAGTTGTTAAAAGAGCATCTCAGGCAGAGGGATAGCAGATGTAAAGATTCCGGGACTGGGAGAAACATTGTATGTTTGTGTAATAGAATATATGTCAGAGCAGACAAAACATGTTTTAGTAAGTGGGAGAAGCTTAGCAGTGGGCAAAGCCAAATCATATAGGGTCTCCTAAGCTTTGGTAAGCACTTTTGATTTCACTGTAACTGTAATGAACGAATTCACTGAATGTCTCTAAATAAAAAGTGCATGATTTGCATTAAGTTTAGAAAAGCCTATTTTGGATCTCTGTGGAGAATGGACATTAGAAGGATAAATGGGAGCAAGGTGGAACCTGGTGGGGATACCACTGTCATTGTCAGGAGAGACAGTGATGGGGTTGAGGGGGGGTGGGAGTGCCCTTTACTGAAAGAGCAAGAGAAAATTGATGTGAGCAAATAGAGGAAGCTTCCAGATTTTTAATTTTTAAAGCCAATTTTGGCAGCCTTTTCTGATGAGCTTAAGTATTTGCTTCCTGTACCTAACTAAATCTTTGGCCAGAGCCAATACAACACCTCTTTCTAAGAAGTTATGTTATAGCCGAATAGTATTCCATTGTGTATATGTACCACTTCTTCCTTATTGAATCCTCTGTGGCAGGACACTTTGTCTTCATGTCTTGCTAGAAATACTGCTATTTGCGACAACATGGATGGACCTTGAAAATACTATCCTAAGTGAAATAAGCCACTTGGGAGAAGCTAAGAACTAAATGATTTTGCTCATATCATATCTAATAAGAGGGAATATACTAGTTGACCCTCCCGCCGTCGCAAAAGATGGCAGCGTCCACAGCCAATAAGGAGGGAATATGCTAACTGACTGCCCCGCCCTCAAAGAATGCGGCGCCCATAACCACAAGATGGCAGTGCCCAGTCCCCTCAGCCCCCCAGCTGCCCAGGGCCGCCCAAGGCTCAGGTGACCAGGGCCGGCCGAGGCTTGCGCTGCCAGCAGTGGCAGCAGCAGAGGTGTGATGGGGCTTTGCCTTTCCCTGATCACTGGGTTGCCTCCTGCCCCTGAGGGCTCCTGGACTGTGAGAGGGGGCAGGCTGGGCCGAGGGACACCCCCCCTCCAGTGCATGAATTTTCATGCACTGGGCCTCTAGTGTGGGATATAAAACTGAAACTCATGGACACAAATAGCAGTGGGGCAGTTGCCAGGGGGAAAGAGGTAGGGCAAAGGGTGCCTATTAAATGGTGATGGGAAAAGATTTGATGTTGGGTGGTGGGCACACAGTGAAACATACAGATTTTGTATCATAGAAATCTATACTGAAGCCAATATGCTTCTATTAACCAATGCCACCCTGATAAATTTAAATTTTTTAAAAAAATCTACGTTATGTAGTTGTTAAAACCAAGTTCTGAAGCCAGGCTACTGGCATATAAATTCTGTCTCTGCCTGTTAATAGCTGTGTAACCTTGAACTCTTACTTGAATTCTCTGTGCCTCAGTTTCCTCAAATAAAGGAAGAATACAAATTATGTTGCCTCTAAGAGAGTTTTTAAAGATTAAATAAATTAAGATAAAGCCCTTATAATAGGGGTAGACACATAGTAAGTACATGATACACATTCATTTCCTTGTGACTATTCCCAAACTGCAGTGTTATCTTTTAAAACCCACTGTCTTTTAGAATACATATTCATTATAAATTATTTATAGAATTTTCCCCGCATGCTATGTTGTGAAGAGCACTCTCCAGTTATTAAAGGGGACAATTATTGCCTAACTGAATAAAAGAAGATAGAATGAGAAACCAAGGATTAGTGGGAAGCTATAATTAGACAGTTGAATGATGACAGTTTAGTTCTTTATGGAATCCTTATTAATACCATTTGGAGGTCATGCAGTAAACTCAAGAACACTACAAAGTAGGAACCCTGACCTGTATGTGTTGGAAGTCGAGTTGTCATTGGAGACTCTTATCTTAAAAGGATAATGTCTCCCCCCCCCCATACCAGTACATTTAAGGTTATTTTAAAAAGTATTCCTTTGTATTATCTTCCTTTTTAATTTACATTTTTAGTCAATTTAGTAAATCAACTAGCTCTCTACATGTGAAGTCATAGAATTATTAGCAGATCTAAAATTTTTAGAATACAAAAAATTGATATATAACCAATATATTATTTAAAATGTCAAGTTCCTAACGCATAACTAAATGAAACAAAACCATTTCAGTCCTGGCTGGTTTGGCTCAGTGGATAGAGTGTCAGCCTGTAGTCTGAAGGGTCCCAGGTTTGATTCCAGTCAAGGGCACATGCCCAGGTTGCAGGCTGAAGGCAGCCAATCAATGATTTTCTCTCATCATTGATGTTTCTATTTCTCTCTCCCTCTCCCTTCCTCTCTGAAAACAATAAAAATAAAAAAAAATAAAAAACCATTTCATCATGAACCTGGAAACATTACAAAAGAAGTCACTAAACAAAGCATATCTGAGATTCAGCAGATCAAGACCTGCTGAACAGGCCTTCTCATAGTTGCACTATTTGGTATTTTTCTAAAAAACATAATGAGAAACTTGATGCTAGATTGTTTATACTCCACAAAGCTGGGAGGCTTTGTGAATTATTTCACCTCTAAAGCCACACAACACAGTTAAAAATTTAAAAGGAAAAACAGATTTTATAGGTGAGAACATAGTGTTTTGGGTAACTGCTTTGACAGAAGTATTGGTTCCAGAACAAGAGAGTAAAATTGCCTTTCTGTGATTTGGTTGAACGCTATCTGACATCACAGTTGAAAATGGTTGTTCACACAAGGAGACTGAGTAGGATGATAAAGTCGCTAATAATCATGTTAGTATGAGAAACTGAAGAGCCATTACCTTCAGATAATTAAAGGGTTGGGATGTAGAAGAAAGGACTTATTCTTTTAGCTTTGAATGAAAATTATAGGCAGACTCAGAAAGAAAAGTTTTTTCAAGCATAAATAATTGCTCAAAAAACATGAGAAAGATTAGACTACAGGAATTCTCAAGTTATTTTTTTCCCTTTTTTTCCCTCCTTAGTTATACTATCTATTCTAGAAAAAGGCTACGTTACAAGGATGTCTAGTTACAAAAAAGAATATTTGCTCAAATTTTTGAAGTGACTTAATTTTCTTGTTCATGTCTCAAAATTCGCAAATAATCTCCTAATCTTACATGTTGCAAAACTGCATATAAATCCTGACCTAAAAAATTTCTCACAAAGGTTAACTAAGAGATATTTCGGCATTCTGGAAATTATCTATTGCAAGCTCAGGTGATACATTAGTTCATTGAGAGATAGATCTTATTTAATTCCCCAAAGCAACAGTGTGTTATAATTTAGGAGATTCTATTTGAACAACTATGCATTCTTACTATCTTTCTAAGGAAGGAGGACCCAGGGTTATTAGTTCAAAAAAATGGAGTAGTGCTAGAAAACCAAACATTAAAAAAAATAATGACTTTATTAATTTTAATGCTCCATTGTATTGATTCATAACAGGTATGTCGCACAAGGTAAAACAAGGACAAACTAACATCAGCCTTCAATCTTTTAACAAATGATTATTATTGTAACTCAGTGAAATAAACATATTCACTCTTTTTTACAGGCATAATAACATAGGATCACAATAAAAAATTATATTAGTAGGACTGATTCATTTACTTATTCATGTGTTTAATAAATAGATGTTCTAGCTTAATTTTCATTTCATTCAAATTTATTTGCCCTTCCACAAATTTATTTTGCTGAATGCATTTATTCTTCTGATCAAGTTGACAAAAAGGCTCCTTGGTGCATTAGAATTTTAAATGGTATTGAGTCATGTAGGTAAATAAAAATAATTAAAATGAATACTTTATCATCATCCAAATGCAAACTAGTACTACACAGAGAAAGTCAATGCCATCAATCCCCATTATTTACTTCACAGTTATTAATTATATGAATATACATCATAGTAAAGAATGAGAAATGTTGACAACAGTGCTGTGAGTTGAAAAGACAAGTATGCACTTCAGCTTATGGATAGACATGATAATATAAGAAATACAAATAGTGTTAAAATTCCAAAATTATTGCTAAAAGACTTATTGCTAAAATAAACTTTATTTTTATAAGTTTAGAGTGTAGAAATGTTGCAAAGAGAATACTGAGTTTTCATAAACCCAGAACACAGTTTCTCCTATTATTAACGTCTTACATTAGCAGAATTCATTTATTGTAATTAATGAAGTAATATTGATATGTTGTTATTAGCTAAAGTCCACACTGTATTAATATTTCCTTAATTTTTACTTCAGGTCTTTTTTATATTCCAGTGTGCATTTTAGAATACATTACATTTAATCATCATGTATCCTTGGGCTCCTCTAGCTGTGACAATTTCTCACACTTCTTTTGTTATTGATGACCATGACAGTTCTGAGAAGCACCGGTTAGGTATTTTATAAAATGTCCCTCTATTAAGATTTGTCTGCTGTTAGGATTTTGGGAAAGAAGACCGCTGTGGTAAAGTGCCATTCCTGTGACATCATATTCAGGCTATGAAATAACACAGTGTGTTATTAATATGAATTTAGACCTTGATCATCTTGCTAGTCAGGTTTCTCCATTATAACATTGTCACCTCCTTCCCACTCCCCTTAAAATGTACTCTTTGGAACAAAGTCACTCTGCCAATACCTAAAGAATGGCGAGTTATGTTTCACCTACTGTAGTGTGGGTGGGATACCTACAGAAATTATTTGAAATCATTTAATTTCTATGGATGTCTGTCTCCTCCAGTTATTTATTTATTCAATCATTTACATATATCATTATGTTCTCATGAACATTTAGTTAATAAATTGTGTTATAATCTTTATGTTATTGGTTGAATAGTTCCAGCTTTGGCTATTTGGAAACTCTTTTAGTTG